TGTTGACAAGAACACACCTTCTGAATCCCCATAATACTGGGTGTGATATGAGGCCAGCTTGGTGACTTAGCAACCTGAAGTTAATTTCCTTGAATTAAAATTTTCAGTCTCAGTTGCCTCGTCTCTAAATGGGGACAGTATCTCTGTCATAGCTCAGAGATGGCATATGTGTCCTGTCTAACAGGCTCTGACATTTGATGTCTGGAATATGATGGTGTTTTAGAAACGAAGTCTGAGTGAACCCAAGAGACCACAAGAGTGTTGAGTCAATTCTGCATGCTGGGGTGCACGGTGGAGTGTCCGAGGCTCCATCCCGGGGTCAAAGGTGGGATTCATCTCTTGGTCCACTTTCTGAGGAACCTACCCTATGTGTCTCAGGCTGGCGTGTAGGTGCAGAATGTCCTCTTCTTCCAGCTGCTCCCTCCCAGCCCTTGCCATACTTTCTCCTTACAGATGTGGCATGGAAAGACTCACCTGATACCTCTTCTCTACTGCAGGGAATTTTTAGTGAAGACCTCTCAGTGCTTCATTTCTCCCCCACCCCATTTCTGCTCTATTCTCAGGACTGTGTCTGTCTTGATATACCATAGGTCATTCATTTTTTGTCATCCAGGCAAATATTTGGTCTGCCTTTGACCTTTCCTATATCTTAGTCCAGAAGGATGTCTTTTCCTCAGCCCAGATTCTGCACTTCCTACCACCCTGTCCTGTGCTTCTTTCTAATTCTCAAGTCTTCTTTCCTTTGGGAAACTGTGCTAGGCTAACCCAGCCTAACTTTTGTATCTCACCCTCTCTGGTCATGGTCCCTCTGTATTACAGTCTGTGTTGTCACAATGCCTGGTGTGTGTGTCTGTGTGTGTCTGTGTCTGTGTCTGTGTGTCTGTGTACTGCTGTCAATAGTGTCTTCATTCATGTAACAGTGCTTTCTTCTTGTCTTCACATTTATTTTCCAAAGTGTTCAGTTACAAGTGGTCAACTACAGTCTCAAAATGCTTTTTATGTTGGCTTTTGCAAGTGTGAGAGAGAATACATTCATATAGAATCTACTATAGGATCTTGTGATAACTTTCTGGTTTTATTGCTTATTGGTAGAAGGCCAGGAAGTATCATTTACATCTCAGCAGCTAGAATTAAGCCTTTAAGTTTTGTCCCCCTGGATATCATCTAGGATGGTGGCCATGACACAGATTCCATGGCTTGGTGTCCTGTCAGTGAGAGCACTTTTCCTGTATTTATTTTATAGATTTGGTGTGTGTATGTGTTTAAATAAGATTGCTGATACAGATTTCCCACCTTTAAAAAGAAATGGGTGGGTTTGACGGTACTTGGTAAGCTAATTGATCTTGAGCCCCAGTTGCCACAGGTGAACCATAGCCCTGTGAACATGCAGTACACATGTGAATGTGAATTTGAAAGTAATGGATGTGGAAAGCAGACTGATGCCCAACAGATTTGGCCGTGGTGTGTTCTGAAAATATCTGCAGACCCTAGGGGATACCAGAAAGCAAAACAAAATCGTCTCTCGTGAAGCAGTTTAAGAAACCTGCCTTCATGCATGGACTTTGGGTATGGCTTTCTTTTCTTTTCTCTCTTTGCTTTAATACAAGGTCTTGTGTAGTTTGGTTGGCCTTGCACTTGCTCTGTAGCCAAAGATAACTTTAAATTTATGACCTGTCTCTCCCACCAGCCTGGAGCTGGGATTGTAGGCATGTATCACAGGACCAGTTTCTGTGATAGGGGCTCTCCCCAGGTTCTGTGCATGCTCGGCAAGCACTCCGCCAACTGAGCCACATTCCCACTCACCTATACAAAGCCTAAGTCCCTGGGTTATGGCCTACATGCAAGTAAGTAAGCGAGATGTAGCAGCAGTTCAAAACAATTTTGAATTGGTTGGTCGTCAAAGTACTAGTTGTGGGTCAAGAGAAAATACATGTGCCGTCTGTCTCTTACAAAGCCAGAATCTCATAATCCACTTCAATAGTTTCTGCCACAATCTTGTGATTATTTGCTGAGCGTTGTTACTTAAAAGCTGGCTCTGGTAGAGCAGATGGACTGATGGTGGCTGGGCCAGCTAACCGCCCTGGGGTTAGATCCTTGAGCAAGTTGGAAGACACTATTCCAGGGTACGCATGTACCTTTTCATCTCTCCTGTGCCTCCAATGCCTGCCTCCTTTTCGGATTAGAGTTCCTCATAGGCTCTACTTTAGATCACTTTCAGTAAGTTAACTGTAGTTATCCAGAGCCTGCCCCGTAGAGAAAGAAGTTCAGGTTGGCAGCAAGTTTCCCAGAGCTGTGTTTGTTGGCATGGGAGAAAAGGACTAAGACCTTGGTAAGTAGAGCTGGGGTGGGATTGAGACCCTTCCTGGAAAGATGGATAATGGACAGAGGTGAGCATCTGAGTGAGGGGACCCAGCTAGGAGGGATACCTGGCATCTCTGTCTTCCTTCCCCAGTGTTCTTGAACACCTAATAGGATTGGTAATATAATTAGGATGCACATTAGATTATTTTAAATGAAAAAACTAAGACATGTTGGTAATTATGAGAGATCAAGATAAGACAACAGTGCCTTTCATATTTTCATACTGGTGTTTGGACACTGCTCTAGGACAGGGTTCTAGAAGCTAGGTGGGGTAGTCATGGATCAGTTTCAAAGGCTTATGTTTGGTCTTGCCTTGTTGACTTTAAAATGCTCTGTAAAGTAATCATGTGTCTTGAGTAAGCCCAGGAAGAACTGAGCAGTTAAGACTTCGGATACTCAAGAAACAGGAAATGAAAAACAGAAACAAAAATGAAAAATAGAAAAAGAAACAGAAATGAAAAATAGAAAAAGCAAAGGAAATTCAGAGAGACAGACAGACAGCAAGAAAAATAAACAGTGGGGCTTTAGGGGAGGCTGCACACATCTCACCAAGGAGGTGGTTCATTCCCTTGTTTCCCTTTTCTCTACTTTCCCTATGGTTGGCTACAGGCCCATGAGAGACCAGCTCACTCAGGGTCCAGCTGCACTTCTGCCTCCCAACTCATCCTGCTCGTTGTAGGTTTTCAATCAAAGGTAAACTCTTCAACTCCAACAGTCCGCCCCACCCCCAACTTGATGTTTTAGCAATGAGACACAGGGCCTCACACATGCCATGAGGGTCTTAATACCAAAGAGCAATGTAAAAAGTTCCTATCCTCCCAGCATCCTGGTTCCTTGACCAGTATTTTTTCCTGACGATGACCATCTGAATGGAATCTCAGTGTGTTCTCATTTTCATTCCCTCTGCAGCTAGAGAGCTTGAACTCTTGAGAAATGTTTTCTGGCCTTTGTACTTTATCATTTGAGAACTGTCTGTTATATTATCATATCGGTCCTTTATTACTACTCAAGTGTGCATGTTCTCTTGTGTGTACCTGTGTGCGCAGGCGTATTTAAGTATTGCACACGTGTGTAGAGACTAGAGGCCACTGTTGTTTGTCTTCATCATCATTCACTGAACTTGAAGCTAATTAGTTCAGCTAGCGTGGCTTGTCACTGAACCCGATTGGTTCTCTTGTCTCTGCTCCCTAGTGCTGAGCCAGTTATTTCCTGAGTGCTGGGGACCCAGGGTCTGAGTTCACATCCTCACGCTTGCATGGAAGGTGATTTGGTGGAAGAACTGTCTCCTCGCTTCCTAGCTCAGCTGGTGATTGGCTTGTCTGCTTCCTTGGTCTCTAGTTTTTTGAGTTATTTATATATTCTACATATTAATCCTTTGTCCAAATACCCTTTAGAGCCGTCGTTCTCAACTTCACTAATGCTGTGACCCTTTAATACAGCTCCTCATGTTGTGGTGACCCCCAACCATAGAATATTTTATCAGTACATCATAACTGTAATTTTACTACTGTTATGCATCGCAAGGCGAATATCTGATGTACAGGTTATCTGATGTGCAACCCTCAAGAGTCAAGACGCACAGGTTGAGAACTGCTCTGGAGAAAGGTGTTGCTGGAAATGTGGGTATGCACATGTGAAAGCGTGAAGGCAGCAGAAACCCTGCACAAAACAACACCACCACCACGGCAAAACATACTAACGACCTTCATCTCACACCCAAAACTGATAAAGGGGAGAAACTCCAACATGCAGGCACAGCTACATACTCGCCAGAAACAACAGCAGTGGTCCAGGAAATAACACAAGAATTGGCAGATAGGATTGGGTGAAACTGAAAGGTTTTGCACAGCAAGGGAAACAAACAGTCACTAGAATGAAGAGAATTGTTGATGTGGGCTTTTTAGAACGTGTGCCAAGCATGCAATCTGGCCTGAAATTCTGGAGAACCAGGGCTGGGGTTTCCACCCCAAGCACAGGAATGCAAGTAATACTTGGGGGCTGGGTTTGAATCCTGCACACTGGCGCTAAGTGAGACTTGGACTCCATCCTCCCAGTGCTTCCTCTCACTGGGAAGCATTTGAGCTTTCCTGGGATGTGAAGTCTAATGAACCATACTATGGGCAAGACACTGATCTTACAATGAAATTAATTCTCCAATTAAAGACAAACTACTACCATGAATTCTTGGGTTATGTCAGTTTTTATCTGCCTTCTTTGCACTCGGATTGACCTAGGTGAGACCTGAAAATAAAGGAGCCTACCCAACGCTGTCAAAAGTTTTTCCCATTTCCCTGTGTGCATGTAAGTCTGTGTGTGTATGCGTGTGTGAGTGACTGTGGGGTGTGGGTGAGTGTGTGTAAATATGTCTGCTGTGCGCATGCATGTGTGTGTACATATATATGAATTTTTTTTTAAATCAAGGTAATTCTCTCTCCAGCAGCATTTGGTGGCATTTTTATTTCTGTTTAGGTATCACCCTATATTCTTTCTCTTTGTCACGGACGTCAGCTTATTTCATATGAATGCATAATATATTGAACACATATGCATTTAAAATATTGTTTTGATTTGGTTGCAAGTTGGTTCTCTTCAGGGTCTGTCTGGGGAGATGTGTAATTTCTCATATCCTGTCCTTGCAGGGAGAATTTTAAATCGTTTCTCCAAAGACATCGGGCACATGGATGACTTGCTTCCCCTGACGTTTTTAGACTTCATCCAGGTATGTAAAGTAATGTCGCGGTCTCCAATGCACAGCAGTAACCTTTTTTTCCCTTTTTCTTTTTCAAGCCCAGGGGAGGCAGTGGGGCTGGAGATGTGAAATGTTACCTTAAGGAAAGGTTGTGTTTGTAGAAGAAGGGCGTGGCTCTGCTCCGGAGGCTGCCTGGGTGTGAGTAATTTGGTGTGGAGGAGTGGCTGTGCATTCGTGTCAGGGTTGGTTCATGGCAGCTGCAAAGTGGCTTTCCATCTGCCTCCCAGGTATCTGGCGTGGACTGGATTTACTGTGAACACATTTCATAATATAGAAACAATCACCTCTCACGGAAAGATAGCCCAGATTAAGTAAATTATGCATTGTATTGCTACAAAGGGCAAATATTTACTGCACCGTTTAGTTTTTTTTTTTTTTTTTTCTTTTTGAGGGGGGTGGGGTAAAACCAGGTGTGGTTCCTTACAAAGAAAAGATTAGCAATAAGGTGAAAATAATACTTTGTTAGCAAGGACAATAGAGAGCGGGTACTGCAGATCCAGAGCTCTGAATGCAGGCGTGCTTAAGCCAATAATAGGAGGACAGGATCAAAGTCTTCTCAGAAACTGTCTGCCTTTGTTTTTCCAGGCAACTTTTCTTTTCACACACTGATTGCTCTGTCTTAAGGTGTCTTAAAAAAAAATAAAAGAATCCCACAGAAATGCCTTCTTTTAGCATGTTGTTTTGTCTGTGAACTTGGGTCCAAAAGAATCGTGTTGGGTCACCTCATCTCTCGTCTGCTCACTCTGCTCCTGCGGTCTTACCTGTCTTGTTCTGCTTTCTTCTGTCATCTAATTCTGTCTGCTTCCTTTTGTTTTCCCCCAAGTGTTTACTTTGGAGAAGAAATGCACCTATCAAAAGTGTGCAGATTTTAAAATCCCAGCTGCTGTGGCTGAACCTTTCTCACTCTCCCTAACTGCCAGTTTACAGCTGTTCTCACGGAAGCCAGGTTGCAGGCAGGAACTGGCGGCATCCCCGGGAGTGGCCAGCTATGTCTGAGTCCTGCTGGACCCTGCCCCTTTTTTTGATGCTCATCTCTCTTCAGGTCCAAGCTCAGGTCACTTCCAGGGTCACTGTTCTAAAGAACTGAATAATCGCTTGATTTGGAAAATTAGCTGTGTTTAAAAAAAAAAAAAAAAAAAAATCAACAACAGGCCTACGGTGATTGTTGGAATCCCTGTTAGTCACCCAGAAAGGGAGCCCCCGGCTATCTGACTGCAAACAGCATGGCTCATAGCTGTAGACATCTCCTCCTGACACCCATCTGGGGCTCGCAGGCCAAGTCTTTGCACCACAGATAAGCATGCCAGACTCTCTTTCTTCTGTGAACTTATTTTTAAAACATTTCCTACCAGATTTAGCTATGCTCTTTATCCTCTGGAAGCAACCTATCTCTATGGAATCCCTTTCGCCCACCCCATAGAATGCGGATAACTTTACGCGCATGTTTTGACAGTGATTATTAATTACTGTTAGAAGAATTTGCAAAGGGCTGTTTCTTCAAAGCGGGTGGCACGCTGGGGTTAGCAGAGTGGGCCTTGCTAAACAGACTCCCTCGCGTGGTGCGTGTCATGTGGGAAGGGATGCTACTCTGTGTGTGCTTCTAGATTTCATATAAAACCTTCTCAGCGTTGTGAGGAGAGAAAACCCTGGCCTCGCTGTACTCTGTCTAAGCAGGTACATCAGGCTCTTTGCTCATCACCACTCAGTCTTGGCACCTCTATCCACTGTTGGCACTCTGGTCCCGATCAGCCAATTTCTAGAATCTACCAAGAAGGTGAATCTTGATGCTGCTGTCCCCCACAAAAGGAGTTTTACGTAAGGGACAACTCACTTATCAACGGCGGTACAGATCTGTTGTCACTTTGTTTGCAGGTGTCTTTAATAACCTTCCCATAAGCCTTTCAGGAAGAAATATTTTCTCCTTTTAAAAATAGTATTAGCTAAATATAAAAGCACTGATCCCCTGCCATTGTTGCTGATTCTTTGAGGGACATTTCCCAACATTCATTGTTTAAATGGTTGTCAGGAAGAATCAGCTGCAACTCAGTAAACAGTGCGGCTGCCTCCTCAGCCTGTGCTCAGCCTTTGCTGGAGGATTTGCATCTGACGGCTGAGTGAGCTTCTCACTGAAGAACTGCTGTGATCCTTTGCAAGTATTTGGTGCCTGATGCTTTAGGATCCAGAAAAGATTTTTTTCTTTTTATGAAAGCCATAAAAAAATGAATTTAACCTGCCCTCAAAGAAAGGCCAACAAAAATCTAAATGTAAATTGATTTTTTTTCTTTTTCTTTTTAAGTCGAATAGGACTCTGTCAGGACAAAAACAACCCAGTGGTGTTCTGGGACTCTTAATGGAATCATGTAAACTTAAAATAAACACTATTATGGTAAGCACATAGAATGAAAACTAATTTTCCAAATCAAATACATTATATTCAATTCATTTTCCCCAATCAACCAAATGTTTAAAACCTGTTAGTTATAACAGCAATCTCCTGGAAATTAATTAGAAGCCTATTAGCTCTGCTAACTGAGGCGGACGACATGGCTTGCTCCTTACATTTCTAAATAGTTTCTGGGATTAAAGTGCAGCGAGGTTACAAAGACAGTCGGCTTGGCTCACCTGATGGCGGGCTCAGTCCTTGATCTTGTGTGTGGGAGTTTGGCAGAGGGTGGTTTGCTTTGCAAACAGTTTTGTTTACTCTAGCTCCGTGTTTTACTGCATTTTAAAACATTATACTGAGAATGTAGCTCCCCTGATCTTTCGTTCCTAAGACCATGGTTCTGTCCTGAGTACAAACAAACACACAAGAAAAGGATAGTAACAACCACAGCAATTTGAGCATTAGCTATTAGGTCAGGACACTAGTGACCCTGTCAACACTTCCTTGCGTGGACCACTGAGGGGGTGGGATTTTTCTCAGGTCTTTGTGCTGGTCCATTGAGTCCCCTGAAGCGTTTTCTTAGCTATTTTCAAAATGGATCTTAGTAGCAAATGTCCTGACTGCCTTTGTTCTTAATGTAATCACAAACCTGCTGCTGACATCAGGGGTCCATGGGTCTTGACGTCTCTCATCGAATCCTGAATTACCAGGCAGCTCCTACTGTGTACAGGGAAATTCCCAGGATGCTTGGCTGAAAAAGTTGAGTTCAGTTGGAGGTGAAGATGAAATGGTGCCTGTGGATCTGATCTTCAAGGAAGTGAGCGTTCACCAGCATTGTTTAGCCGGAGTGAGCACATATACTAGCAGGGACAGTGGAGACCAGGATTCAGGCTCATGCTTCTTCCTTATGAAAGATAGGCGCATGATTAAGATCGGATAGCTGTTGAAGTAAATAATGTAATCACAGTTACCCCGTGAACTGTTTAAAGCAGAGCATGTGTGCTTCAGACCCTTCCTGAGAGATAATGACAGTTTAGTTGGTTTTATAGGTCAGTTCAGAGTTTGAGTTTCCAGCTGAGTATGATCCTGAGGAGTTGAGGGATGGGGCCTGAGGATGGGGCCCTTCATTTGTGGTGTTGTACCTGGAGTCCCTGCGCTCTGAGGAAGCCAGTCAGAGGTTGGGACAGAGATCTGTCACACCACCGATGGGATGACTAAGTGAAGGAAATTCTGTTTAAAATGTGAACAAATTTCTTGGTCACTTAGAATTCTAATGTTGTCCACTAAGCTTCAATCAAAGATTGATGTTCGTGTGGACATGGAAGGGGTTTTGTTTCAGAGCATTAAGTACTGGTGTTTGTTGCGCAGGGACACAGGCAGTGCCAGAGCCTGTGTCTGATTGCTGCCCTGGGCGCTGTGAGGAATATGAGGGGAACAGGGTGAGAAGAGGTGTCTGGGAGACCGGGCTCTAGGGGGGCACACATGCGGATCTTAGTGACTAAAGACAGTAACTGACAGGCTATTGCAAGGGCTAGAACACAACTAAAGGGTGTTTGGAAGAAAGTGTCGATCCGTGATTGGAAACAATAACAAAATACGAAGTTATGTTGGCGTTGCCAATGGCTGGCAGCATAGTTCTGGCTTAAAAAGTGTTGTTCAAATGTGTTTCATTTATTTATTTTTTTCAAGAAATTGAAACCACTTTGAGTATAAACAGGATTTTGAAAAGCAAGTCCTTCATCAAGACAGGATAGTTTTTTGCAGGTTAAAACTAGATGGTGTTACCAAAATAGGAATTAAAATATCAGTACCATAGAGGTGTTCATCTACCCTCAGACATGACAAATCGAGATGAGACAAAGAATTGGTAAACTATGTATGTATAGACAGGTAGATAGATGTGTGGTCATTAACTCACCATCTGAACACTCTGATGTCTTATCCTTAGCACAGATTTCAGTAGAAATGACTTAGTTTTTTACGTACACATCTGTCTTCTTGTGTGCCCTCTCCAGCATCACAGATCGCATGTAAGACAGAGGACAACCTGAGGGAATTCATTCTCTCCTTCTTCTTGGGAAGCTGACTCAGTCTATCTTACTTGATGTCACATGGCCTTACCGTCTGAGTCTTCTCAACCACCAGCCCATACGCCTACCCTTTCTTAAAGTAGTTACTAAATTTTATTAATAGAGGCCATATTGTAAATTTTAGTAACATTTTAATTAACATGGAACTCATTGTTTTCAGTAATAAGTTTTACAAAATACGTTTATACAGTTGATGGGAGGGTGTTGTGTGACAGTATTTGTAACTAGATATTTCACGAAATATCTTGACTTTTTCCCCAAAAGGGAAAACACAGCTTTTATATGAATCTGTGACTTGGAAACAATCTTCCTGTCGGGCGTCTCTCCTCTCTCAGGCCCCACCACTGATCTCTTAGGGAGCTCGTAGCAAGTGTTGGATATAGGGAGACACAGTCTTCATTCACAGATTAGCATTTACTGAATCACTGCCCCACACTGTGCTTGGAGATATGGGCTCCAAATGGAAGGGAATCTCGTGTTCTCTCAGGAGAGGCAGC